ATATAAAGTTATTAGTAAAGAAAACCCGTCTGGATAACAGCAGACTGACTGCTCATAAAATATACGACAGGTCCACTCGTGAATTTTGTTCGTATCTGAAAAAATCTTAGAATACGAAAACATTGGTGAATGCCACAAATTCTCCTAAATCACTCGTACGCACAACTTAAGAACAAATCTGTGTGTACGAACAGTTCTTGCACGAGGCCCAATCATTGTTGTTCAGTGTGTTCTAAATGAAGTTGTGTTTCAAGTAAAAAGCATGTTTCAGTGAATAATATATTGAATAATGACGATTCTGACGAATCTACAAAGACATAAAATAGTTGAAATAAAGTTGAATACTGTTAAAAGTTAAAAAGTTCAGGAACACATTTCCTTAATGAACTCCTCCTTTTAAAGGTTAAATGGTTTAAACAGCTCCAAGTATGCAGAASGTGGTGAAAAACAGGATTAATATAATGAAAATACTGAATCAGCATTTCTACATGGATTTTTCAGCTCTTATGCACCAACGGAAATGAACCACAGCTCAGATTACAACTTATTTCACAACTTTCTTGTTTTACAACCAAGATAACTGAGCAGTCCGACCTGAAGGTTTAGTTGCCATGACTCGTATGGTTGGTTGGAATGTCCCTTTAACTCAGACAGGGTTTGCCTGTGCTTCATCAAGGTTAGATTCGTCTGATTAGATTTTCATGTTGTGCAACATTTTTGGGTGTAGCAGTTACAGTTTGTTCTGCACAGGGATCAGTTAAATCTGTACAATCAGTGGCTCAAAGGTCAACAGGTTTCTTTATTCTATGAGGTGTTTATAGTGCTGTCAGGACCTTTCTGCCTTTTCACAACAGCTTTTCTTGTTCAGTCATGTTTCTAATGGATGTCAGAGCTTTGGAGATACCTGCTGAGCAAGATTTACAGAATGAAAGGTGAAATATAATACAGTTTTAGTTTAAACTGATTTGAAATGTGTTGTTGTATTTGCAGTATTATGAACAACTGTTGGGACATTGTGTGAAGGGAAATACAATCAGATTGTATTTACAAATTTCATGCATTTCTTTCACAATGAACCAAAATAAACATTACATATTTAAACTAAGAGATTGTAGAAAACAAGTTATTTTTATTCCAGGTGCAAGTTTCCTCTCTGTGGATCATCTCCACTTCTTTTACCAACAGTCTTTAACAGTAGTTTGACTGAAGGACCCATTGTTCTCGCTCTGAAGCTGAACAGTCAAACAGTTGTTCGATGTTCGTTTTCACACACACCTTTATAGTACTATCGCTCCTGACACATACAGCGCTGAGTTCCTGGGAAACCTCTCCCCCTATTGTATACATCACTGGGTGGGGTTTCTTCCTGTTGGACTTGAAACTCACTTTAAAATTTTTTAAATATAATAAACCTTAGATCTGCCATTATTTGTCAACAAATCTGCCCCAATTTAAGCTCCATACTTTTGTACAAACAGATTCCTCCATACAAAAGATTGTTTTTTTGGGTTTTTTGTATCTCCGTGAGTTTTTGTCATTTTGACTATCTTTATAAATGTCTGCTTCCGGGTAGAACTGTTCGATTCTAGAAGCGAATGTTTTTATTTTTTATTTGTTTTTTTATAAGGGAGTAGCTAAAGAAGTATGGAGGACCAAAACTGACCTAATTAGAAATAAAAGCAGAAATACATAAAAGGACAATTAAATAAATAGCTTAAAGCTTAAACTGTAGTTTAAACAAAGGCAAGGAAAAAAACACTTACATGTGCCTTTATTTTTAACTAAACTTTAAACTAAACTGAGGCAGCACAAGCATTCACAGTAGATCTGCACATGGGCCCTGCTGCTTCCTGTCCGTTGACCAACAGGAGATGAGCTGACTCAAGGTCTGCCCACCTTATTTGCATAATGAGGCAAAAATGCAAAAGCAGCACAAGAAAATAAAAAGACTTGTGAGAAAAAAGGTAACTAACAATTAAATATAATCATGTAGGAGACACAAATGCATCTACAAGTAAAAGGGAAAACAAAAAATATATGTATTTTGAAAAACTGTAAAATGTAATTTATGCGCTCAAATATATAATTTATTGGAACTAAGCTGGCAAAATATATGCATTAAATTATTAAACATGAGATTAAGTTCTACTTTTTAATCTAATTAGTGCTTTTAAGTGTATTTATTTAATTATTTATTTATTCATTTATTTATCCTTTTATGTATTTCAGCTTTTATTTCTAATTATGTCAGTTTTGGTCCTCCATAAAGAAGAACATGCAGCATCCGAGCACTTTCAACATAAACCAACAAGCCCACGAACTTCTYACCAATCAATCACACAGTAAGTTCTCAAGAAAGAGGTGAAACAACTCGCTTCCAGAATCCAACTGTTGCACCTGGAAGCAGACATTTATAAAAATAAAAAAGTCAAATGGAGAAAAACTAATGAATGGGTAATTTTTCCGTTGTGTTGATTCCAGCGGGAAGAACCCCTGTAGAGTGACGTAACCCGCAGTGGGAGGGGTTTCCCAGTGTGTCTCAGGAGGGATGAAAGCTGTGTGTGAAAATAACCTTGACTGCRTCTACTGTTCGACTTCAGAGGGAGTATATGGTAAATGGACTGTACTTATACAGCACCTTTCTATCCATCCAGGACACACAAAGCACTTTACACTACAATCTGTCCTCATTTACCCATTCACACAGCACTCTATTAGGTCTACAAATCTAACAAATACAATCAACTATGGAGACTAAACAGTGTCGATCACATTCATACACTGATGGGACACACATCAGAGGCATTAGGGGTGAAGTGTCTTGCACAAGGACACAACAACTGAGACAGCTGGATGGGGGATCAAACCAGCGACAACTCCCCTAACCACTCTGCCATAGCCGCCCATAAGCAATCCAGTGACTGTAGAGAACTCTACTTGAAAACAGACCATTTTAGCCATAACTCGATAGGAAGGTGCTGGCCACACGAAACTTGAAAGCCACACATTTGGAAAGATGTTTAACAATTCTGCTTGGCCAACAAAGCTCTGATCTACCCAGAAAAAAAAAATCGCTATTTTAAATCTGAGTGATAAAATCAGGGCTATTTGGCCAAAAACCACCATAAGTACCTCTGCAAAGCCTTGATAATGACAGAGTGACAGTCATTCAACTCATTTATGGACGTATGTCTGTGTTTTATTTATAAAAATGAATGTTTAATTATGAAGAAAGGCCAGGCAGATGAGTATCCCCTCTCTGGTGGTGAAACAGATCATATCCTGAATCCCAAACCACAGAGAAAACTCCGCCCCCTCATTTGCATATTGGACCATGGAATTAAACGCCATGAAATAGTAAAACAGCCTGAAATAGTGAAACTGCATGGAGTAGTAAAACTACATGAAATAGTAAAACAGCCTGAAATAGTGAAACTGCATGGAGTAGTAAAACTACATGAAATAGTAAAACAGCCTGAAATAGTGAAACTGCATGGAGTAGTAAAACTACATGAAATAGTAAAACGGCATGAAACAGAAAGGGATTTCAAAATAAAAGTCCCTGAAAGATGTAAACTAGCTTTACAAAATAAAAGTGTCACAAAATAGAACTACAATATGTAATAC